CTCTGAACTGAAGGGGTTTAAGGGACCAACAGTGAGAATTTGGAGGTTGTTTTTATGAGAATCCTCCAAACGTGGGGCTCTGGAGGTGCAGAACGATTCGCTGTGAGCCTGAACCATCCCAAATTCTGGGTTTATTCACCTCCTCCACCCTCTCCCAAACCCCTTCCCCAAAAAAAACTGAAGCCACCAAAGCCAGAAAATACCGAAAAAAGCTCCTTTTTAACGCACTTCACAAAAGCAGAACAACGAGGGCCCGTCCCCCAGCCGGGGCCTGGGAAAAGGCTCTGGAATTGGATCGACTTCCCCCCCCCACAAAAAAAAAACCAAAACCCAAAAAAACCCCAAAAAAACCAACAAAAAAAAACCCCCTCAAAAATAATAATAATAATAATACTATTTAGACCAAGTCGTCGTGGCAACTACGACCCATTAAATAGAGGCCCAGGGCGGTGCCGGGTCACACAGAGCGATGGGGAAGGGAGGGAGGGGGGCGGATAAAACCCCCCCCGGGGTGGGTGTTGGGGGGCTCAGAATTTTGGGGTTTATCTGTACTGGTAACTCATGCTGTGCTCGTTCCTGCTGTACCCACCCTGCGACGCCTGGTACGAGCTGGGGGGGCCGCTGTAACTCTGCGAGCCCGGAGAGTTGTAGTTGGACTGCGAGGAGTATCCACCTGGAGGAGGAGGAGGAGGAGGAGGAGGAAGGAGGGTCAGGCTGCTGTGCAGCTGCAGCACGGCCCCGGCGGTGGGGAGGGGGTGTCCATACTGACCTGCCTTACCTTGGTAGGAGGAGCCCCCGCCCCCCGAGCCCCCGTACGAGCCCGAGCTGTAGGAGCCGCCCCCGCTGTAATTGTTGCCGCCGCCGCCGCGGCCGCTGCTGCCGCTGTAACCTGGGAAAAGGGAGAGAGGAGGGGGAAAATGGGGTGAGGATGGGGGGCACGGACCCCCCAGCACCCTCAGGACACGCTCAGGGCACCCCCAGCACCCTCAGGGCACCCCCAGCACCCTCAGGACCCTCAGGGATCCCCAGCACCCTCAGGGCACCCTCAGGATCCCCAGTTCCGGGAGGATCTGGGTGATTTTATCCCACCCTGCCAGGGGCGTTCTGAGCCATGGATTGATTATCCCTGCACTGCCCTGCCCTGCCCTGCCCTGCCCTGCCCTGCTCTGCCCCCTCTCCCAGCACCAAATCCCTCTGGCCAGCCCCAAAATTCCCGTTACTCCCAGCTCCAGCTCCAGGAGGGGCAGCTGGGAGTCACTGGGACACTCTGGGAGTCACTGGGACACACTGGGAGCATCACCCAGGGTTAACTGGGAGTCACTGGGACACACTGGGAGCTATTGGGACACACTGGGAGTCACTGGGACACACTGGGAGTCACTGGGACACACTGGGAGCTACTGGAGCTCCCTGCTGCTGCCCCAGCCCACAGAGGGGTCACCAAGGTCCCCTCCAGCTGCTCCAGAGACGGGGACACCCCTGCAGCACCCGTGACCCAAAACCCTTTGGGATCAACCCCAAACCCCCAAACCCCAAACCCCCAACCCCCCAACCCCCACACCCCAAACCCCCAAACCCCCACACCCCAAACCCCCACACCCCAAACCCCAAACCCCCAAACCCCCACACCCCAAACCCCCACACCCCAAACCCCCAAACCCCCACACCCCAAACCCCCACACCCCAAACCCCAAACCCCCAAACCCCCACACCCCTCACCCCTCACCCCGTGCCCCCCACTCACTGTATTTGCTCTCGTAGCTGTAGTCCGAGCCTCCCCCGGGCGAGTTGTACGAGTTGGAGTACGAGTAGCCCCCCTGGCCGTGGCCGTAGCCCTTCTGCTTGCCCTGCCCGGGCCCGTAGCCGCCGTACTGGCCCTGCCCGTAGGGCTGCTGGCCCTGGTGGCTGGAGCCGTAGCCCGAGCCGTAGGAGCCTTTCTGGCCACCTCCGTGCTGCTGCTTCTTGCCGCCGTGCTTGGGGGGCGTGGGTGCCGTGTAGCCGTCGCCGCCCCCCTGGTAATAGGAGCCGTAGCCCGAGGAGCCGCCGCCACCCCCCGAGTTGGAGTGGCCACCGTTGCTGTAGAACTGGCCTGGGCACGGGAGGGGGGGGCGAGGTGAGGCCGGGCTGGGGGAGACCCCTCAGCTCGCCGGGACCCCCGAAAAATCCAGCACAGACACCCCCCACTCCCCAGCCACCCCCGCCCCGGGGGTCTGTACGTGTGACCCCAGAGGGATCCATCCCTGTGACCCCAGGGGGATCCCCCTGTGACCCCAGAGGGATTTCCCTGTGATCCATCCCTGATTCCAAAGGGATCCCCCTGTGATTCCAGAGGGATCCACCCCTGTGATCCATCCCTGTGATTCCAGAGGGATCCACCCCTGTGATCCATCCCTGTGATTCCAGAGGGATTTCCCTGTGATCCCAGCTGGGATCTCCCATCCAGATCCATCCCTTCCTTTTTTTTTTTTTTTTTTTTTTTTTTTTTTGTTAAATTATGGAATTAGCTCAAGGGCCTCAAAGATGGAAGAAAGAAGAAAGGGAACTTTCAGACCCAGAACCGCGGGAATAAAGGATCAAAACGCTCGGAATCCCGTGGATCCCGAGACTCAAAATCAATCCCAAAATTCCCCTGAACCCCTGATTTTGGGGGTATTTCATTCTCCAGCTGATTCCAGCACTTTCATTCCTCCAAGCTCAGACAAAATCGATGGAAACACTTCGGGTTCCCTTAAAAACCGAGGAATGTTTCCCATTAAAAAAAAAAAAAAAAAAAATCTTCTGCTCCCTCGAGCCACTTCCCTGGGAATTTTCAGCCCCTTGGAACGCCAGCACACGTTGGGATTTTGGGTGGAAAAAGGAAAATTAGAAAAGGCTCTTACTGTATCCAGCAGTGGCAGAATTCCCCCCGTAGCCGTAGCTCCCGTAGCCGGCGCCTGGAGCAGGGGAAAGTTTGGGAAAAATCAGAAATTCCAGGGGTGGGATGTCCTGGATTTGGGGTGGGGTCCTTGCCCCATGGAGGGCTCTGGGAAATCCAGGTGGGACAGAGGGGAGGTCACTGCCCCACGGAAGGTTCTGGAACATCCAGGAGCCATGGGTGCCAAAACAGGGGGCAAGGCTGGTGCTCGGGGGTGGGGGTCTGAGCCCCCCAGGTGTGGCTGTGACCCCCCAGGTGCAGCTCTGACCCCCCCAGGTGCAGCTCTGACCCCCCCAGGTGTGTGCTGGCCCTCACCTGTGTTCAGGTAGCCGCCGTGGTTGCCGCCGTAGCCGCCCCGGCCTCTCCCCCGGCCCCTCATGTTGCCGCCCCGGCCTCGGCCCCTCATGTTGGGGGGCGGGGGGGCCTCGTTGTGCATGGGGCCGCCCCCCATCCCAAAGCCGGGGTTGTGCTGCTGTGGGCACGAGGAGAGGGGACACAGGGGTCACCTGGGGCTGGGGGTTTTGGGGTAAAATCCCCCCCAAAAAAACCCCCAAAAAATCACCATCCCAAAACAGAGCCCCGGGACCCCGTGAGCAAGAGCCACCCCACAGAGGGGGAGCCCAAATTCGGGCACCTCCACATCCAGAGGTTTTGGCTGCAGAACTCTGTGGGGTTTGTGCTCCCGAGGCGTTTGATCTGCTCTCATTGCCAGAAAAAAGATCAAACCCAGAGCCAGAGCCTGGGGAGGTACACCCCAGAGTCGGACCCCAGAGTTCCCCCACTCCAGACCAGTTACCACCAGTCCATTCCCACTCCAGACCAGTTACCACCAGTCTATTCCCACTCCAGACCAGTTCCCACTGCTCTCTCCCCACTCCAAACCAGTTCCCATTTTTTCCCCCACTCCAGCCCAGTTCCCACCAGTCCATTCCCACTCCAAACCAGCTCCCGTTTTTTCCCCCAGCCCAGCCCGCTGGGACTGCACATTTCACTCACTTTCACGGGGAATTTGGGGCCCCCCCTGGCAGGGACTGGGGCTCTTTTCTTCTTGTTCTGCTCGATGGCCACGGGAGCGTCGGGGAAGAGCTTCTCGAGCGCGGCCAGCGCCGCGTAGGCTTTGGCCACCTTCTTGTTGGAGCCAGCACCTTGGAACTTCTGCCCGTCCACCTCCACCTTGGCAGGGCATGGAAGCACACAGTGAGGTGGGGAAGGGCAGGGAAAGATGGGGGAGCTACAGGGAAAACCCCAGAGCTGCCCAGCTTTGGAAAGCTCCTCCCGACACAAAGAGCGCTCGGATCTGATTTGATGATTTAATGCTCTGAACTCTTGGGGAAAAAAGGGGTGGGGGGTTTGAGGCTTCCCCAAGGCTGTTTCCCCACTCGTGGGGCTGTGGGTGGGGCGGCTGGGGAGGCTCCTGCTGTCCCCTCACCTCCATGACAAAGCGTTTGTCGTGGCTGCCCCCCGTCTCGGAGATGAGCTCGTACTTGAGCCCGCGCCGCTTCTCGTTCAGCTCCATCACGGGGTTCTTGCCGTGCTTGGTCAGGATTGGTCCCTGCTGCTTCACGTTCTGGGGGCACACGGAGCCTGCCTGAGTCCCCCCACCCCAAAAAAACCCAAAAAAACCTCC